TCATTGCATGACGCATCTTTGTGCCCAGCTGCAGCTTGGCCCCCAGCGAGAAAGCTGTTTAGTTGCTGCCAGGCAGAAAATCATATCAGGCAAATAGACTTGGGCTGTGAGAGTATCCACTCAGTCAGTGCAGCCATGGATGGCCTTGACTCGGCCATAACCTTCGATGCCCTTCTCCGCAAGCTGCAGGAACAGCACGAGAGGGAGGCAGATCTGGCGTCTCTTGTAAACTTATAGTCCCCCTGAAGTAGATAGAATATGGGGTATATGGGGATCTTATTATCACATACCCAAAGCCATATTCTATCTACCTCAGGGGGGACTATATTCCATTCTCCGGGCAATGCCTATGGCCTAGGGCCTAGGAGGAGGAGAAGTGCAGTAATGGCAGCTGCAGCCAGAACCAAAGCCATAGCAAGGGTTTAGGGTTTAGCCTGAGCCTCATCTTAACCATGCAGTACTGGTTTTGGGTGATGATGGATCCGCCTCTTGGGCACTTGAGATTTAATGCCAGTAGTCCTCTGCCCCCAATATTCAACTGCCCCAACCCCCCCCCCTCCCCCCTATATTAAATATTCCCAATGTATTACACTATACCACACAATGGGGAGTATTTAATATCAGGGGGATGGGGGGGTTTAATATCAGGGAAAGGAAATTAGAGGTTCAACAGCCACAGACAAGCTTGCAGCATTCCCGCACAACTAAGTATTCCAAACTTTGTCTGCGCAGGTGTATGACCTGAATGCCAAGATTCAGCAGCTGCAGGCAGACCTCAGATGTTACAATTGCGCTGTGGCACGCACGTTTGTGGCACCATTTGTAGTGTCATCAAACTGCAACAGCTGCTTGCAACTAGCAGTGAGCCAAGGGTGCACACTTCAGCTCAAGGTTTGTTAGAGTCGTGACAGATGGCTGGTCGGGGTTGGCCTCGATCTGACGTCTCATCACGCGAAGAGATTGCATCAAAAGCAAGACTATGTGATGTCAGGGTGGAGAATTGGTGCCTTAGAAACATGGTATTCGTGCCGCTTGCTTGCCCACTCTGCGCTCCTTAGCAGGCATAAACCTTGCACCAACCTCCTGCAGCTGCATCCAGTGAGCTTCCGCAAGAAGAGCTGTTTTTTTGCCGCTGGTTTTGTCGGATGCAGGACTGGACCCATGTTGTAAAATAGAGCTCAGAAACGGGCCACCGAAACGGGTCAGCATCAAAAACTAAAGAGGCCTTTCCAGGTGCCAGTTGAGGTGAGATTGTAGACAGTCCCAATTAGATTCATGAGGACAAGGCACCAGTTCGCTTCGCAGGAATCGCAGGTGCAAACAAGAGAAGTAGTTGAGAATTCACCCTAAACCCTAAACCCTAAATAGTAGTTTCCATTTCCTTTTCCATTATCCGTATATAACCCCTATAATATGCCCCTGTATACCCGCATGAAGGCTGACAAGGATGCAAAGCTCCTGGCCAGCGGCGCCAGCCCGACGGAGTCGGCGTTCAAGGCAGGAGCCTTGAACAAGTGACTAGATGGGTGATTTTCAAAATTATGGCGCCCTTTTTTGTTACAGGTTTGATATTGCGGCACGTAATCTGTAAGTGCACCAAAATGGGACCCTATTTTTGGGAACTACCCGGACGTTTTGTGACTCTCGACTTCTTTGCTAGCAAGCAGTCTCCTTTTGCCCGTTGACCAGCCTTGGTCATGATAGGGGCATGCCGGCAAATCGAAAAAGCTCAACCCAGAACAGCTTTGCTTCAAGTTCAGCTTTGTTGTTCTGAGCCGCCCCAAATTCAAGGTCAATGTCAGAGCATTCTCGTTTTCTAATGCTAGTGCTGCTACTGCAGTTGGCTACATAGCTTTTGGAATACACCAGATTATCCTGCCGCTGTTGCCCTGAAGAGCCGCACAGATGATCCATCCAGGCAACTTTGGGTCCGAGGGTGGCGCGGCCATCTGCACTCACCGTCAGCCGTGAGCCTACGGAAGATCAGGATACCAATGCTCTGAATTTGAGAGTAGGACTCAGTAGGATCGTTCGAAAGAGCTGATGGGTTCCTCGCTGACATGACTTTATGCCTTGCTTGTGGGTAGCTGTGCATCCTTGTTGCAGCTCTCCAGATGGAGGTTTGGTCATGCATGAGCTGAGGTCTCGTCACGTTTTGTCCTGCATGCCATGCTTCTGCCATGACACATAAGCCAACCCATGCAACTCCAGGTGATGCAGCTTCTCCAGCAGAGCATCTTGTGCCAAATGAGTATAATGCGTCTTGGCAAAGCACCCTGAGGTTGGGTTTGGTACAAGAAAGGCTACTACAAAGACAATCAATCAGAAAAGACTATAATGAAGACGGAGAGTGGTAAGCATAGGTCTACAGCAATCGCTAGCTAATACCTATGTACTCCCTCAATTATCCTAGGTATCCCCCTCTGTTTCCGATAGATCGTTCCAAGCTAACCGCCCCTAAATCCTGAACCCTGCATTTTCTAAACCCAAAAGAAATCTACGGAAATCCCTCTTATTTGAAGCCCAATGACACCATATGCCGCATGAAAGCCCTTTGTCTGGGCTTCCTAAGGATGAGGCAGACCCTCCAGAGCCTGGTTCGCCAAAGCCCGTAGGCGACATCCAGGAAGCAAGGGTGCTAGTGGGGCTCAGGTATTATTATTACTATTGCTATTATTATTATTATTACTTTTACTATTATTATTGTTACTATTATTGTATTGGGGTAGTAGGGCTGAGGAATTAGGGTTAAAGTTTTAAGGCTTAGGGCTTCCTGGGGATTATCCGGGGATCTGTCCTGGTGTGTCGGCCTTCTTAGGAATCTAGTGTGGCCAGAAAAGAAGATTGTTTCGAGCAAACATCTCCGGCATAGCGCAGGTCAAGCTTAACAGTTGGGCAGCTTCGATTCCAACTCACTAACTACCTGGCTGATTGCGACTTTTCAATACTTTGCAGATGGTGGCTGCAAGACGTGGGGATGTGGGATCAAGATCCATGTAAGTAATCAGGGATTGTCCATGCCGTCTTAAGCTTTGTGCGACTTGCAGCTGTCGGTTCTGTTCCACTCAGCTTTGATGCAGGTTCCGCATTAGAGCCTAGAAGTTCTACCAGCACCATCTCTGATTACGTCCGGAATGGGACTATCAAGGGTAGCAGGCTTCGCAGAAGTCTGGGTCGGCCGTTGATGGTCCCACAACCTGATCACTTGTCATTCCTAGGGTGGCCATCGAATGCCACAATGCTCGTCACTATGATTGTGATGCATGATGGTAGGCCTAGGCTCGAAGAGCTCCATTGCGAGTCGTCAGCCTTAGCAACTTATTCGCCCTGTCAAGGACGTGAACTCTGTCGACGATGAGGGTGACCGCAATGGTTTGCACTCGATCAATGGCGACAGCAATGCCGTGACCTCCCTCCTTGAGGTGGGCTGTATTCAACCTGCGGAGATTTCTGTACAGCAGTTGTGTGTTTTTGGTCAGCTTATGTGGGGACGAGATTAAAACTCAACAGGAATGTAGGATCTACACAGCCAATTGTTGGCAGCTTGCCTCAAGGATATTTGGATTTGATTGTATGCGAGGCAGTACTCACTTAAGTCAGCTGAGCTGACCTCACATCCAAATGCCAACCACCACTTTTAAGTGACCCGCTTTGTTGTTCGCTTGTTGCTGTTATTGCTGCTGTTGCCATTGGCTTATTCTATTTCTTGCCACGTTGTCTCCATCGCATTGCAATTTCATGTCTGTCCCGCAACAGATGAATGACAGGTGCCACAAATGCCACAGAACGGTCCACCGGGGCTCAAGATACCCGCGTCACCGGCCTCTGTTGGCATGCGCTCGACAACGGGCAGCCACCTGGCTATGAGGGGATATCCATGATGCGCCACAGGGTTAAAGCTTTTGGGACTCCAGGGTTTGTGGGTTTCTGGGTTTTTGTGGCTTGCTTTGCTGCATCGGCTCGATTCCTCCTGGGACATGGACAGAATCTTCAGAAGCGCCATTTCTTTGCATTGATGCTGTATAAGTGTTCGCACTTCAGGATCTGGGAGAACTGCCCAACAGTGGAGGTTGGCTTCCATCAAAGCCCGGCTTTGGTCAAGTGTTTAAAGCTTGCTGACGACAGAACTGAGGCTTCTCACTCATGTCACCCAGGCCGACAGAGTCCGAGGAGGTGCAGGTGCGGTATAGAGGGATTGAATTCTCGGAATCCGTGCCATCCGCTGTAAACTTGTAACAAGCAGTATTGAGCAGGAAGCTTGCGAAATAATGTGTGTGCGCTGAAGCCGTTGTTCCAGCTGCAAGACTGCCTGCAGCTGGGATTCCCGGCGTAGGTTGCTTGTGCATTTCTAAACCATGGACATCATTGTTTTCTTCGCAAGGCATGATGATAACACGAGCTCTGAGACGTTCACGGAATTCCGGAACTTGTCAATGGACCACAGCGCAACTTATTAGGGTACAGAACAGGCATTGATGGTGAGGGTAACCGCCTACAATTAATGCGCGGACATGCGCGGACGTTATTATGCATTGGGCATGGATGCCCTTGTAACCGTATGTGATCGGGCTATGGACCGTATGCTGCTTTGAACACGGATGCTTGAATAACACAGGCAGATTGGACATGGACGGTGCTCTTCTTTGGAGACGGTATTCTTCTTTGGGGACGGATGCTCTTTAGCCAGAGCACTTGGAACATGGACGTGATCATGCGTTATTCGGGTTTTGAGATGCTTTGGGCACGGATGGTCTGGTGACTTCATGCAGTTGGACCATGGGCGTTGTTTGGGCATGGATGTATTGGTAATTGCATGCAATTGAGACAGGGACATTATCGTGCTTCGGGCATGGATGCTCCTGTCACAGCATATATTTGGAACATGGATCTTTCATGGTTTTGTCGCCGGCGGGCAGTGGACTAATGCAGGATTCTTGTCGTTCTCATCGCGGCTGCACCTATCCTAATGGGTATTCTCATTGAGGGTGTCAGCCGTCCAGGCACCCCGGTCTCTGTGCGAGCGGATCAAGCATTTTGTCCGAAGCGATCATTTTGATCTGGCGGTTGGCCTCTTAGTGTCTCGGCAGCATTGTATGGGGTTTCAGGGTCTCATCGTACCATTGTTACATGAGGATGACGGGGGATGAGTATCACTAGTGGATGCTAGTGGATGTTGTTACTTCCACCACCCAGGGAACCCTCTCCAAAGAATCATATGAGCTATAGTCTAAACTCGTTATTGGGGATTATATAGGAATGTACTATAGGGGCTATTCCGGGGGATACTAGGAGTTTAGACTTCAGCTCATATTGAAGGTGACCTTGAACTTCTTCACCATGGCCATGGAGTGCGAGCCTCGGGGGTTTGGACCATTTGTCCGCGCTAACAACCGGCGCCAACGAAGTGTTTAGCGGGAGCCACAGATGGGTAGTTCCCAAAAGTAGGGTCCACTTTGGGTGTCCCTAAGTACTAGGTGTCGTAGGATAATCTACAACCCAAAAGGAGCCCATCATATTCAGAACAATCCAGGTACTAGTAGCTGTTGATACTTGCAGAATTGCTCCCTGGCCTGCAAAACAAGAAGGTTACTTGCCCATATGCTCAACTCTGGGCTTGTGCGGGGATTCCCTTCTATCCGGTCTTGCAGTTCCGGCACGTTCCGGTGTAACAAGCTACTGGCGGAGAGAACTCCACGGCTTGTCTCAATCCCCTCTCCCGTCTACATCAAAAGCAGTAGGTCCGTCTGTGAATCCGAGGGCCCTCAATGTAAGTTTGGTGTATGGGTGCAGGCTGCAGTATGATGGCCTGCAAGCTGGGTACGACCTCAACATGCGCTTCTTCGATCAAACCGCGGAAACTGCCTGGCCTTGGGCGCTGGACTTTTTTCAGGCTGAGGGGGTTGGGGTGGGGTCTGTACCTGTGGCAAATGCTGAACTAGATTGCCCGAAGCATCTAGTAGCGTGTCTGCGTGCTAGCTTGAAAGACTACAGTAGTTGCGGGCTCGCCTATGCCTTTTAACTTCTGTAGCGGACCTGGCAAACGACAGGTTTGTCGCACCATCTTCCTTGTCTTCTTCACCTCAGAGATCCTTCTCAGGCTTGTGCAACAAGCTGTTCTGAATTGGAGCCGGCTGGGGGAACCCAGAGGAACCGTGCATTCAGACAGCTGAGGTTTTGTTTTCTTCGGACCGAGTTCTTCAAGACGCCTTTCAACGTGATCGATTTCGCGGCTTTGTTGGCCTCAATTATTGAGCTCTTTTCTTGGACTTTACCAATTGACCCAACGCTTCTTCGTCTATGCCGGCTTGCAAAGCTTTTCAGGCCCGGATCGCTTTCAGACATGTGACATGCTGTGCTCGTTTCATGTTGAAGAGACTTCAGGCTCATGCGCAGTGCAGAAAGGTGGTAAGCCGCAGTCACATACAAGCTATACCAAACCACCTGAAGTTGGAATGCAACCTTGTGCCAAAACAACCCTGAGAGGACTATCCGCGTGCTAAAAGTCTCCGGCATGCTTGACTCCCTCAGCTTACTGGCCAGATGCTGCTTGGTGCAGCACCGTACGCCTAGACATACCAACTGCGGACCAGTGCCGGAAAGTGCAATAGACTTGTGCAATGAAAAGTTCCGGCCTCTTGATTGCCAGCTGATGGTACAAAGAAGTTGTCACAACACACGCGTTCATCATGATCATGGCCAATATGGCCGTGCTGAGAAGAGCCGCAGAAGCAGCAGCGGCGGCTGCAGAAGCCGCAGCCAGAGCCGCAGCCGGAGCAGCAGCAGCGGCGGCGGCGGCGGCAGCAGCAGCAGCACATGTAAGCAAAAAACTCTGTAAACTTCAATAACATCATGTCACCATGAATCCCCAGCTGAGGTATGAGCTCCAGTGGGCTGACTCTTGTTTGGTTCCTTGCCTCAGCCAGCGATGTTATGCTTCCGGGCTTGGCATTCCATCTATGTTCAAGGATGGGGACTACATCTATGACCCCGGCATGATTCCGCAATACCATCATCCCAGGATCCTGTGTAGTTCCAAAAGCATCCCTACATGTATAGCACAGATATTCAGGCTCCAGAGTCTAGATGTCAGGGCAATCTGCTGATCTTGTGCCGGGAGCAGGACACACTCGTTAATGTTTATGACTACTGTTCTTGTCATTCATCGCGCAGCTGAATAAGAGCCTGCTCACTGCTTGCTGCTTCTGCTTCAAGTCCACGCGTGTCAAGGTCTCTCCTGTTCCTGTTGGTGATCCAGCTCATTGCTGCAATGATCGTCTGCTACATGGTCCGGCCATATTTAGAGAATCAAGCAGAAGATGAGACGCGGCGCCAAGAGGTTTACAAGTACTACGGCGCCTTGGCTATGCTTGGAACTTTGGGGAGCTGCTTCCCGGGAGTAGGGTTCGTAGACCTACAAAATCTGCAGTTGTGCTAAAAAAGTGCATTTCCTTAGGCCATATAAGTATACTGCCCAGCGGATGCGGAATCTTTGAGCAAGTGCGGCCGCAGCAAGACAATCAAGAACCAAGAGGCTTTTGCTGACTGCATGGCAATCTGGACCAGACCGGATCCATATCTGTCATTGTATCGATGAGCGCAGAATCGGCACCGAAGTCTATCAAACCCCACAGGGAACAAATGGAGCAGTCTAGCAGGAGCAAGCATGCTGACAATGGGGGTCACTGCCAGATCACTGCATTCGCGCCCTCGTTTGATATGCCAAGCTCGTTAGGTCCGGTCGGCACTGTCAAATCAGAAAGTGCAGATAAAGTTCAGCAGATTCTCCATGTGGCCTGATAGAAGTGACAGAACCTGAGTCCCATGAAAAGCAAACATGCAGCGAGTAAGAAGTTGTGTTGCGCTTTGCTATGGGGCGCTTTACTTGACCAGTCCGCAACCTCATGTGTTTTAGAAATGCACATCCGAATCCAAGGTACCTTCACCATTGCAGTTCTCACTCTTTTCGAGGCCATCCGCAGGGACATGACAAGTTGACCTGAGTGGGCCCTAAACCCAGATGATCTAATGGTGGAACCAGACAAAGGAAAAGGTGTGGTTTAACTGAACCCTCTGGTGGCATAGGCTGATAACCGTTTGTCTTCGTTGCAGCTGCAAATATGACTGCAAATACCGGCTGCTGCAATGGCTACTGTGCCTGCTGCTGCTCCTCCTCTGTTTTCGCGCTCCGGGTAGTTTAGCTACTTTTGATGCTGCTTGTATGCTATAAGTAGCTTGTTGATGGTCGCATAGGATTGATTCTTCGCTGTGACCTCTCAAGTCGCTAGACAAAAAAGAGCTTGACTTAGCGGCTGGTTTCTTGCCCTAGAGTGCTGGTTCCTGTAACTACAAGTTATCAGCCGTAGTCAGCTACTTGTATGGCTCTCGCCTTGCCGACTATTGCTCTTGATGCTAGAAATGGGGGGCCTCTTTTTTAAAGTTCTTTTGTTGTTTCTGTGGTTCCTGCTCATGTGTGGTACCTATTGCTCTTCTCTCTGGTTCTGCTTGCTGGTTTTTGCTTCTTGCTTCTTTCTTT